GTCTCAAATTATAAACTCAAAATATATGATATATATTCGTAGTTACCATATATATATATATATAACTACTATATATATGTTCCTTAAAATTTCAGCAGAGTTTCCTTTGTATTCTTTAAATACCAAGTTATTAACTCAATCATTTTTCAACTTTTAACATCAATTATAATATTCGTCCCATCATTTGAAATTAAAAAACTCAAGCATATTTTAATATCTCAATTCTATTTTCTATAAAAAACTGTAATAAAACTAATAAATTCTTAACATGCATGGTCTTTTTTTTTTGAAGTATTTGTGCTCAAATATATATACAACCAATCATAATTTAATTTAACAATAATAATAATATAAATTACATCATATACAAGATAATAAGTTCAACATTACAATTTTGGATATGGAAGTATATTATAACAAAATATTAGTTCTTCCAATTATATTAATCACATAAAATATATGATATATATTCATAGTTACCAATTTTAGATATGGAAGTATATTCTTAGTTACAAAAAAAGCAACAACCCAAGAAAAATAAGCCTTAATAAAAACATAGATAAGTTTGGTTTTATAGCCTCTCGAACCTAAACAATTAAGTCCAAATAAGTATTTTGACACCTAATACCCTGAAGTCAACTGTCTTGGAAGCTATTAGCCCAATGCTTGTTACATGGGTTGAGGAGAAAAGTTTAAGTGAATCGAACATTGCACTATCTAAGTAGAACATTGCACTATCTACGTAGCAGTATCTGTAAACCAAGTTACTAAGCTCGTAAGGGTGTCTCAACACCTACTGCTGTAAGACCAACTAGTTTGGGAGTCATTAGCTGAAAGCTTATTACATAGGTTAAAGATGCATTGTGTTTTTAAGTTATATTAAAAAAAACAAGGAAAAAAAAGAGAAGAAAGGGATAATAATCCCAACTCAAGGAAATTAACTTTAAACACTAGAACAAAAGTTTTGTTTTCTTCCAAGTAAAACCTCATAACTATGTATTGATATATTGAACATAAAAGAAAGGTTTATTAATATCTTGTTTAAGAGGTATTGAGCAGATATATAAATTTAATGAGAGTTTGTTTATCTGGATAGATTAATGGAAGTTGAATGATGAAGCCTTACTTTGTAGAATTTGCAAATAATTTTTCTATTTTAACACTTTGATTACCAGGGACAATTAATAAGCTGGTTAGGGGTGTAATTAATACTTAAAAGTGTATTTTTATCAAGGTTTTATATCATCATTTTACACTTGAAGTATGAATAACTCCTTAACTAAAGTATATTTTATAATAACAAGTTTGATACCATAAGATACCTTTAATTTATAGTAAATATTCATCCTAAATGCAGGTCTATCACATAATAAAAGGATTGATTGATGAGTCGAAGTATTGAAATTAAACGGATAAAAAAAGGGCCAAACTTAGAAAAAAGATGTTGGTGTAGTCCAAAAAAAAATACTATTCGGTAATTGGATCATATATAAAGCTGTAGATCTCAGATTTAGGTCTGCTTTATATGGATGGAAAACTAAGAAATAGGTCTAAAATTTTCATGCGTAAGTCAAACTTAATTCTACTATTTGGAAGTCCAAATCTTAGCAACAACGTAAAAGGCCGAATCTGTCTTGTAACCCAGACATTGTTCAGTGTTCAGTCCATATCTCAAGTTCTAGAAGTCCAAATAGCTTTTTTGTTTCTGGAAAGAGAAGATAATTTTCTAAAACTTTCATGTGGAAGTTTGGTTCAAATTCTGATATTATCAATGATGTTTTATTCAGATAAGAAGATGAGGATTGTCACCAAGT